TACTAATTAAAAATTACAATAATTACAACAGTGTTTTATTTTAACATATAACCTAACAATACAAAATGTACGCTTCTATATGTAAAAGTTTGATTTATCGTTTTTAATTAATATTTAACGATATACAGTTTGTATACGTGCTGTTCAAACTATTATAGTATTAATAATGCACTTTGATGGATTATTTTGTATTAGAAACGAAGCAATTAATTTAATCTCAAGATAAATGGTCCACCACAACCAAAGTTTGTTTGCATTTCCGACTTGTTAATGGCGAAACCGAGACGCACACAACCGTTCTTCGGTCGAAGCCAAGTATAGGTATATCTGTGGGGTAAATGTTTTATCGACAGACGTAAAATTTAAACTAGCCAATAAAACACCTCATACGGACAATTTTTTCCCCTCGTTATGCATAGGTATATAAAGTGCACTGTTATTGGTAGGGCGTGAATAGGTATTATAATATTATGTGATAATAATATGTGCAGCTGTTGCCTGCGAAATGTCTTATACTTTGCACCTTGTTTCATTGAAAACCCCTTTCCCGAGTAATAGTCCACATTTGTACAACAGTGGTCATCGGTGTAATACGCTAAAATAAAAACAAACGATTTATATGTAGAAAAACAAACAACTTATGTGTAGGACATAAATATATCGTTTTTAGTGTTTACCTACTACGTATCATTTACATATGTAAACATTCTATAAGCAATTATTCACAGTGATATTGTGCAACGCGAGGTTTTTAAAACAAATTTGTTTTAGGAAGGTATCTAATTATACGGTGAAATGATTAATTGTCCATACTGTATTATGTGTACGTAATCAATTATAATTTTGGATGAAAACTGAATAATTTTCAATAGAGAACTGAACAATACAAAATAATATACAGCCATACAGGGTGATTTTTAAAGCATGCCTTTAATAATTGTGCATTTATTCAAATCCTGGATTTTAGTGTTTTTAAGTAAACCTTTAAGTAGAATTTTCAAATTTCTGATATTTTTTGCACTACTATTAAGGAGTATCTTGTGGGGCTACAAACTTCTATTTTTCATATGAGGTCTCTAGTATTTTTTTACTGAAAATTATTTAGCAGATGATTTTTTGAAAATGTTGATGTATCTAAATCGGAATTCTATTAAGTGCTTTCTGAGTTATTAAAATGCTTACACTAATGATAATAATCCTTAAAATTGATTTTATAAAAATAGAAACTATATGTAATGTTAAATGTAGTATTTATTATACTTAGATCATGTTTACACAATTATTTATATTGATAAATCAACCGTTTTTTCTAATTTTTTTCAAATCGTCTTAGCCCCTTGTCTACTTTACGCATTACCATAGACATATTATCCTTAACATAAAGTTACATAACTCAAAAACTACTAGCTTGAATTTTGATTTAGATACATAAAAATTCTCAAAAAAATATCGTCTTAATAATTAAAAATTAAAAAGTTAGGTTAATATTTGAAAAACTGCAATTTCTACTGTTTCAGGATCATCCATAAGTGGAGCAAACTTTTCAATGATTGGAAAAATGGTCTTCAAGTGTATTTAAAAATTCCAAAAATCTATATATTAATGAATTGATAATTTAAGAATAAAAATATTATGAGTGTGCTTAAAACATCACAATGTTTATATGTATATATATAATAATTAATAACATATATTAACTTCTGTAGATATTACAGTTAGGCAGGTCACCATGAACAGTGGACGGTTTTAATTTCTTTCTAATACCCTTAAGTCTTGGGTGAATTGTGAATAATATTTAGTCATACTTTTTGTGGGATTTAGAATAATTTCTCCACTTTTTCGCCTAGGTACAAATATCCAATTATGATTAGATAAGTTGTTATACCAAAAATCATTAGTAGACAAAATCGTATTGCTTGGCAATATTGTAATTACCTACATTTATAATTACTAAATAATTTCAGGAATGTGTTATTGGTCCATTCTGAGTTTAATACTCCCGTAATATGTGTACCTATGTATAATATGGTAGCCATATTGTACAAAGTAATCTATAAGTTAAAGCTAAGTATTCTTGACGGACACACTTGTGCCACAACAATAAGGAAATTTGATTTATGTAAACGTTTGGATAGGAAACTCCAAATGATATAATAATACCGCATACCGGACTAATCAGACTCTCAAATTTAGGGTTACGAACCAAAACACGCATATTATAATATGTGCCATTGGCTTATAAACTATTATTCAGTGATAATCCTCGGTAATATACATAACGTTAAGTAATATGTCAACACCATGTGTTATAGTATTTAAAATATTATAAAATTAATTGTGTGATTTTTTTTAACAAAGTTTTCCTAGAATTTTCTAAAGCCACCCAACAACGCATATCATAATAAAATGTAACTATAATAGATTATTATTTCTAAATAATGATAATAATTGTCCTGTACAAATAGTTGTTGGTTCAAACTTTTTGAAATTATTATCTTGAATATAAATGTTTGCAACTGGTCTAAACATGCAGTGTAAAGGTTTGCAATGTTTAATTGAATAAAAAAATGTGCTAACCGCTAATATTTGTACTCATTTTCACAATTTTTCGAATAATAATAAATAATAATAATTATACATGGGTACATAATACTCAAACGAAATATGCAATATTATAATACTGCGCCTGCACGTTATTCTACCTTTATTATCTACTGGCTTTTCATCTATCAAATCTAAAATATATTGATATTTTTTCGCAGCCTATGGTTTATTATTAAGTGCACGTGTTGTACCCTTCGACATATTTCAAAGCGCGTTTGCTCATACAAGTTGTAGTTGGTATAATACATGTAGGTAGGTAGGTAACTACTCAAAAATTAATTTCCACCTACTTGAACTCGACGTCGCGACAAGTTCGTTAATGTTATACAATCCTGCAGCGGAATATTATTTTGTGAGGTGGTATACCTACCGTAAGTGCAACACCTAACCTTTTGTATTATAACGATAAACACCTTCTACATAGGTATATACACCTAAATGAGAACAATAATACATAAATACATTAAGCTCTAATCATGTTACGCACTAACGTCTGGGTTTAACCGACATTCGAAACGGTGGGTGTTTGTTCTACACTTATGGCATTATTGTGTTATCATCAGTCGTCTGGATGGATTTGGGTACGATCGTTATTATAGGTACCTGCTGCATCCGCAGTGTAGATTCGTGCGCCGACATTAATAAATATTTTAACGACGATGACACATCTGACGAATATCTTAACACTCTGACACATTGAGTGAAAAAATCAATATCGTCTATCGAGATTCATTGATTCCCGAGCTCTTAACATAATAGAGTGGATGTGCAATGTACACAATATATATTGCCAACTTCCAATGATAATTACAATACATATTATTATGTTTTAAATATATTATTAGCGGATACAATCACTCATTAAGCCGCATAAATAATAGTTGGTAACTCTTTATTAATTGCTCTTTCTTTATAACAAAAACATTGAGGAATGATAATGAATCAGTTACCTACTGAAAAAAGAAAAATGTATTTATTCGTAAAATAAAATATCTGTTGTTAGTTAGAACTGAAACAGAAATAATATTGCTTGATGTACTTTATTTGGGACAGCAACGAATTCAAAAGCCGACTTGTGCAGAAGGGCGTGGCTCCACTACAAGCGGTATTCATGCCGAGGATAGGGCCGGTGTGCGTGACGAACTGGTGTTTTGCCGCAGACGAAAACTGATCACTACGCAGTATGGTACATACACTGGAGGGTATAGGAATTTCGTGTTTTTGTGAAACATAGCAAATAACTACTAAATAAAAACAATAGTTTCCAACTAAAGGAAAATCCTCAACTGCCTATAATATATTCCAAGTAATAGTACAATATAAACAGTAAATTATTTTAAAGTAACACTTGTTGAAATAAACAAACACAAAAGTCGGTTTAGGTATTTGTAGAATATATTGTGTTCAAAATTACACCTGTAATACCTATATTACATATATATTGATATTTAATAAAAACTGAAATGACTGGATTTACTCACACTAATAAGTAGACCACGCTGATGTTGGTATGCAAATAATGAACGGAGTATGCTAAAAGTGGTAATATAAAATGTTTGGTTTCTACAACGTAAATAATTTTAAACTCAAGTTATTTTACAACAAAACGTTATGTGGCCTAACGTGGTGAAATACCTAACTGAATGGTCTTAGGGCCGAAAACAACTTATTCAAGCTTAAACATTCGTTGAATACTCATGGGAAATTTGGACACGAATAAAATATAGTGTGACAGTTATATTATTTAAAATTATATGTACCAAGTAAACATAGGTAACTTCAAGTCTATACTTATAATAATAATATTATATTGTGGTAAAGTATGTTTATATCTATAGGGGAATACATTTATGTATTGGATATTCATCATTGTATTGAGTATTTATGTGTATCATTCTCACTGTTAGGTTATACATGTTCATTGTTTTCTTTAAATCGTAAAATTGTAAAATGATTAATTAATAATTGTAATTAAGCTAAGAATAACCCAGGTCACGGAGGCAGTTTATATATAAAAAAAAATGTCTGTAGTTACTGAACGGAGAGGGCACTTAAATTAAAAATATTTTTACGCGATGCTTGCTGATTTTTAATAATTAATGAAAAATGATGTTATATTTTTTTTTGTGATTGGGGAGCTTGTCCCCAGTACTCCCCTTTGGATCCACCCTTGACATAATATTATGTCACACAGTAATATTTAAGTATTTGAGTGACATTTTATTTTCGGGATAATAAAGGAAACTTTTGACTCAATAACACATGATTTTTAATCTCATGTAGATAATTGTTCGACAACGAATGAAATAATTTTTCAATTTAGTTTCGTTTGCGATCACGATGAACGGCCCATAGATTGGAATCGATTCAGCCGACGAATCCCAAGACACGTCCACCGGCCACGATTATTTATTCATCGGTTGGCAACCCTTCACTGTTTTGATGTTACACGTTGACCGGTGAACGTATTATCCATAGAGTAAGACATTATCACAACGCATCAATCGTACTATATCCGTTGATTTAATGTCTACACTGCCGAGCATCACCAGCACGTCACTCCGCGGCGACCCGTCAACTTCAGTTTACGCTTTCGCACAGCTACGCGACCGTCCGGAAGTCGAAGAGGTATATATCATAATAATTGCATCCGGCCACCGTCGTCACTCATAAGTCATAACCATAATCAAATATCCTTCGTCGTCGGCATCGAGGTCGTCGTAATAATAATAATATCGTACCGATACCGACATGTTTGCACTGCCGTCGGATTACGTGGCCGCTCAGGACGCCGGCAAATCGTTCGCCGCCGACTACTACGGCCGACTGAACGCGTCCGCCGAATCGGTGGTCGACATGTTCACCCAGCGTTCGCGGTACTACTCGATGGACTCGTTGAACGGTCGGCCGGCCGTCGGTCGGGCCGACATCGTCAGGGAGTTGCGCCGGTTTCTGCGGACGTACAGCGCCGGCCGCCGTTTCGTCAGCGTAGTGTCGGTGGACGCGCAGATCGACGTCGGCGACGGTGGCCAGGCGACGAGGAACTTTGGCCGCGGCGACAGCGACGACAGCGACAACGACGAATTCGACGACCCGTACCTGGCGGTGTTTGTGCGCGCCGAATGGGCCGATACGGCGCGCGGGTCGTCGGCGCCGCTGCCGTTCGTCCAGACGTTCCGTGTCCGGTGTCTGAGGGCCGCGGTCCACGGCCACCGGTTCAAGATCGTCATCACCCTCGTCAAGACGCTGGTGGCCGCGGTCCAACCGCTGTTACAGGGGCACCAACCGCAGCACCGTCAGCGTCGTCGGATGGACTCCGACCTCAGTGGTAATAATATAATAATACATCGAATTGGAATAATTTAATTAATAATTTTACTTGTAATTATATAATATGATGTCGGTGTCATGGCGATAGATTCTAAAGCAAATCGGTCGCTAAAAAAACATTTTCAGTTTAGATAGCAACGCGTTCAATTTTAGCTCACCGATTGATAGGTAACCAACAATAGTAAGCTCGTGAATTATAAAAACAGTTATTGATTTCGTTAGGAATTTATTTTTTAATTATCGTAAGAAAGTTCATTTTTTTTTTTTGTAGAGCAATATAGCCAAAATAGTTTTTTTTTTTATTGTTATGATAGTGACGAGGTAACCAGGTTACGCGCGACTACAGTAGGTGCAGCAGAAATATCATATTATTATTATTATTATTATTATTATTATTATTATTATTATTATTATTATTTATATACTTATTATTTTTGTAATTAATACCATTGCCTAATGTCTACCACAGTGTGTTATTATCGTGTTCACGGCGTTCATAATATCATTATTGTCACCGCGCTGATCCTATAAACACAATTATTATTATGTGGAATATTGTACATGTAAGACGTGGGTGGGTACAATAGTAGATAACCGTGGGTAGGTGTATAATAGGTAGTTAGATCCCTCCGAGGCTCAAAGGGATGGTATTTATTACTAGTCCTAATAATATCGAGTCATACGGTGACGACGGATGAAAATAAAACAGTTATGAAAAACGGCTACTAAAATAATAAATCCATAGATAAGTATCATAGTAATTGTGCGTTATTTGTAGGCAATGAAGATCGTTGATGTCGTTTTCATGGAAGAATATATAATGATTGTATCCATACTCTTGGGATGCTTCTCTTTTTAGCAACATAGATAATAAATAAAATGTTTTTTCTTTTCCAACTTCCAAGCATTTGGTATATTATTTTAATTGATCGAAAATTTCCTCCTGCACATAAGATTAAATACTCGACATTTGAATAGCCCACCTGTTCATTATTGTATCATCTGTGGTATTACTATATTATTACTATATTATTATTATATCCATCACCATAAGTACGTGGGTTCATTATAATGTCGAATAGGTCGCTTGAGGTTGACTATTGCTCCATCGTCAAAATCAGACTGTGTTTTAATATTGTTTTGAGTTGGTATTTTATCTGTATAGGCAGCATAGCCTCTATTTATGTGTAACTATATGAGATATATACAAAAAAGAATGTGATTTAAAAATATTTATATGTAATATTATTTATATCTCTTTGAAAACAAATGAATGTCAACGATATTTTTAGATAAATCAAGGAACATTTTTTCATGTGTGACAGATTAGGTACTCTACTGAAGGTTGACCGGAAAATTATAACTTGATGCTAATAATCTGACATCACGATTCATCAAGTACGTACTTTGTATATATTAAGCGATTATGCCGTAGACCGGCCTTTGTATACTCAGTGCGAAGTGGTCAAAGCTAGACAGTGGGAGCTTGTCTTGCGGGACTTACGACAACACGATAATAATTAATATTGTAGTATCTGTAAGTTATTATCAATATTGTTCGCTGCCAAAGTTAATATTTTGTAATTGCATTTGATTATCTATACTAATTAAAATAATACATTAACATTATGTTTAATTATATTATTAATTATTATTATGTCATGATCAATCTGTTCTATCTTCTGTGTTCTGTGTATACATAAAAATTGAAAGGTATAACAATGGGGGCTATAAATACAATGATATGATCTATACGCTGATGCTATTATAGGCTACATATCACTGCTGTTTGCTGTATAATGTTTGACCGGCAGGCGGCAACTTGTCCAGTTCTACTTCGATAGCCCTATAGACAAGGTCGGTCTAATAGTTTATATTACGGTCTGTGGTAGGGTTATATACGGTTCATTCTTATAAATCATATTTTTTAAAATCATTCAAAGGATACAGAAACCTATTTTAAAAAACGTCTTTGTATCCTTGGTAAAAAGTATTTAATAGGTAAATTTAATAGGTAAAAAAACTTTCGTGTTTTTTCATAAAATTCTGTTTCGCCTTATAAACAGAACTAAATTTACTATAGCATTTTCATGTTTTACATTTTTTTTATAGACTCTATAATAATACTTATATTATAGGGCATTTTACACCGTATAATTTAGTGTAACTCGTATCTATTTTTTCTTGTCAAGTCAACCTAATTACCTATTTTGGTTTTCCTTTCGTCGACCGAAGCGAGTATATTATTGTAATCATATTTACATTACGCAGTAGCCAAGAAATTCATTAATAATTATTTTTTAGAATAAATTATTTCCAATTATGTATAAAATGATTATTCTTATTTATTATGAATCAACAGTTTACTGCAAAAATATTTTACAGGGCACTAGACACCTGACACGCTTTGTAAATGACGACATACCATTATCGTTTACCATTTACCATTTTTTTAATCTATTAAAAATACAATATTTAATAATTTTATGTAGATTATATTTTCTGATCCAAGTACAAACATCTAATTTTTATTTTTTACTTGATTGAATTTAAAACAGAAAAACCATCTCATTAAAAAAACAAAGTATTTGAAAACTATTACCTAATTGATTTTAAATATAGATACTTTGTCCAAGTAATTCTTATGTATTTACATGTTCACATTTCGTTTTTCCACTGTAAACATTTTTGTTCGAGGAGGAATGTCCAGCTTAGAGGACACTGATTTACCGTATAACAAATTATAGAGATCACACACTCATTGTCCAAATATTTGTAACTCACAAAAAAATTGTATTCTGTGCACACTAAGATTTCGTTTTTTTCTTCAAACCTTTGTAGAAGTACAAATTACAAGTCTGATAATAATAATTCTAATATTTAGAATAATATGTACTAATTAAAATCAAAACTGTATGTACCTAGGTACTTAAAATACATGTATTTACCTACCTACAATAATATTAGAGAAAATTAAATTTATCAACCGTTATTTCACATGTCTGATTTTGAAACCTTCGATAAGTTTAATTGTTCGGTTTGAGAAAACTAATTTTGAAAGTTTGAAGGTTCTAATCAAAAAGTTTGATGGGTCACGTGTATGGGTATTATACTATTATTCATGACGAATGTATAAAGTGACTAAAATACGATTTCAATTCATCTTAAATACTTCATTGTTACTGGTTTACTGGTCAAAAACATACATGATGTAGATCAAAGTAAAAGCTATTTAATAGTTACTTAGGTTTATAATTTTGATTAGAATTTATAACAAATAATAATTTTATTATCCTAGATAAAAATTAAAAACTAATTAATGTACAACTCAACACAAGATTATTATGTACATACTTGTAATGTTTTATAATTTTGGCCAAATCAAATAACAATTATGTACTTCACCATAATAAACATGGTTGACTTAATTAATTAATAATTAAATATAAATATAATTAGTTGGTTATAATAATAGTATTAAACTTATAAAATTGTTTGTGTAAAATAATATAATTATGGTAGTATTGTATTATATTTATATCCAAATAAAATAATAATAAAGCTTACTCGCAATATGGCTATGCACAGTGTACATGAGTTTTAATAGTACCCATGTACTTATGACTTTTTACTTTGACGTGAGAATATTACATGAGTTGATTTACTTTTAAAATGTTATTTGTTGTTTGTGAACAAATTGTTTATAATCTGTGTAAATTATTATCGATTTATTAAAATAAGTGGGTGGACGAGTAGTGTTTGTTTTGTAAAACATTCCGATTTTTCTCCGTATTTTATATTTATAACATTGCTACATTCATTTTTGAAATATTTTCATCTGTTCTTGTACAGTTGTACCCATTCGATTATAAATTCTCTTCTGTTATTTTCATATTGAACTTAGTGTTTGATGCATTTTAAATGTACAAATTGTAATATTTTAGCGAACTTGTAGATTAATTGCAGAAAATGATTAACTTACTGGTTGAACGGATGTAGAAAAAACTAACTTAACGTAAAAGTATAAAGAATAATAGCTTTTTAAGGTTTTTTAAGCTTTTTATAGCTTTTTTTTTAACTATAAACAAATGTTCTTATAGTATGCTGTATTAATAACATTTTTTTTAGTTAAATAACAACCTAGGATTAAATGTGAAAAGGTATAAGACTACAAAAACGGTGGATATTACCACCGATGTATCTAATAAACATATATTATCAAAAGGTAATATGCTAAAGGGATTAAGTGAAAATTATTATTAGTATTAATTTTATGTAACATAATAATTTTTGTTTTTTTTTTCACTTGACAACATCTTGCAGGTTGGTAGGTATGTCATAATTAAGACATCCAAAAATTACTTTTTGAAATAATAAAATAACCCTGAAGTAACATTTTAAAATTCAAAATAAAATCATATTAATTTTCACTTAATCCCTTTTTCGCGACGATATATTAGATAATTTAGGAAATCTATACTTTTATTTCAATATAAATCAATATCGAAACACATTTCACGTTGATTATAATATTATACCAAAAGTATAAACACCTGTGTAAAATATTTAATGCCGTAAATAATAATTAGTAATATGGTAATTTATCACTATACGAGATCACTAAATAAATAATAACTCAGTTCATAGTTTTGATTCAAATGAATAACAAACCTACTACGACTTACGAGTATTGATTATTATAACATATTTTTATTTTTATAAGAAAATAAAAATAAGTATAATAATATGTATATTATTAGATAGTTCATATTTAAATGCGAATTTGACCTAACTCAAATCGTCAAAAACTTAAATGAATATTAGCTTTTGTTTGATATGCATAAAAATTCTGGTGATACAATTTTTTTTTTCATAAAATATATCCTTATCGATATCATTATCTATAGTCTTTATGTCTATAGTACTATAGATACAAATGATTAGACCATTGGATTCCAACCTTTTTCTTTTTATTACACTAAAAAAAATAAAATAAAAACAGACTCAGCCCACAATTACCTCTTTTACTGTTAACTCGGGTAATAAAAAGGTCGTCTGTAAACTCTGTCCGATAATTTTTACCTATAAAATATCATAAAGACGAACTAACTACTATTAATCAGAAAATAATGCATTTTAATTCAAGTTTTAAAGTTACCTAAATATATATTCCGTTATGACTAGTATAAAGAAATACAAACCAAAACCTATAAAATTTAAAAATATCAAAACCAAAAAAAAAGAGGAATTTTATAAACCATGTAAAATAAAGAAATATCAGCAAATGAATATACATCGTAGTAAGTTGATATTTGCAGATACTTGTCAAACTTTGTAATTCGAAAATTAAAATAAAACTAAAACATTTTTAGAGGATAATGAGAAACACTTCCTCATGATAATACTTAATGGTTCTTAAAAATTTTGGAAGGTATAATTACTAATTAGAAATGAAAAGATCGAAATAATATGTTTTTTTTTTTGTGAGCCAAGTTCACATATCAATATTTTTACCGAATAAAATCAATTGGGTCTGATAACATAGACAAAGATATACAATATCATAGATATACATTATTTAGACTTTTTGAACATTTTTTTTCCCTCGGACCGAATTTTAGATTTTAGTAATATTGTTTGAATGATAAAAATCAATTAAACAATAATTATTTTACATAACCTTGTTTGTGTTTGGAATTAATTTAATACAATAATACTAATGACAACCTAAAGTGTTGATTATCATTTATTAGATTGAAATATAAGTCTACTTCAGCCTGAATAGCAATACTAATTTATAATATTACAATTGTTAATTTGATATATTTTGTATGTATTTTTTAATAAGCTAGTTGTTTCACCTAACTTCGCCCAGGTTAAAATGAAGTAATCTTTCTTTCTATCGTTGCTTGAGTTAAAATATACAATATGGGTAAAACGTCCAAACCATTATGAACACGATTACGATGATTTCTTTTATGATTTACCACTTCTTAATTTTGGACATGTTTTTTTATAGACATAAAACTGAAGATCGATTCAACGAATGTTTAAATATCGACGTAAATTCAATATCTTTGAGATTAGTAATATTGACTTTATGTGTTTACATAAAAACGATGTCCATTTGATATCAAATATTTTTAGATACTAAAAGTAATTAACGTAATATTGTGTTTATGAGTATTTGATTTTAATAAAATATGATTGAAAATATTTTTGTTATTCATGATTGCTGACCTTGAACTTTGAATGTAGGCATAAAATGTCCGTGTCTTATCACTATTTCACTATATGAGGCCCTAAAAGCAGAATTAAACTTTCGTATATTATTGAGAAAAACTTTAAAATTATGATGAGTGCCACCGACAAGACTTTTCAATGGTTCTGGTGGCTCAGCAATTTCGTCCAACTTAACTTTTCCTCCAGCACATCAAAGGCCTAGTGCTTCATGAGGTAATTTTATTGCCTGGCAATACTGTCGAATCTTAGTCATATTTCCAATAGAAACATGAGCATTGTTTGCATTATCAATAATTGAAGCGTCTTTAAGATACCATGGGGAGCGTGGTTAATTAAGGATTTCTCGATTGTTGATAAAATAATATATTTAGTTAACAATTAATGGCTTTAAATAATTATAGTTCATCAAAATATGGTTTATAGTTGCGAGTTTGTGAATTCAAATATACAATAATATGTTTGCAAGTGGAAACGATAAATGGTTAGATAAAATAATGACAATGAGAAAAAAATCAGATTAGAGTTTACATAAATCACGCGAGGTTTGATTTCGATGAAGTTGTGATTACCTAGGTATTGAATTGTTATTGTTAAGTTAGCTTTTCACATAAAACGTTAAATGTTTTTATTTTAAATTAATAATAATACAATAATCAATACCAATAATAATAATTATTTATTGTCATTCAATTATAGTTTATACACATATTTTTATTAGCAATGTACTATATTAGTGTGTATTTGGGAGAAGCTGTGTGGGGCGTAGATCCTGTGGATCACTTTACTTTGGATTATTTTAGTCCCCCTAAAAATTCAACCAAATAATAAGCCTTTAGGCTATAGTTTTCTGTAATATAGAATAATATGTTCGTCATTCTTGTCAACGATAATTCGTTCACCAGAATTATGGATTTTCCTATGCCACAGGTTAGGTTTAAATTTCTATATGATAACAAAATCTCTTCACTCCTTGTATTAGTGGCCAAAACTGGATTTTATTTTTGATATTTTATAATATCAAAATAAAAATGATCTACTGTAATATTCAATAGAACTTAGAAGTAATAAATAAAACTAACAAAAGTGAAAATTGAAAAACTATTATGTTACTTGATACAATTCGAGAATGCTACTCTTTTGATAAACAAAAAAATGTTTGACTTTTGTGAGTCAAAACGAAATTCCTATAGGAGTTGAAATAAGAAGCTAAATTCATCCTCCGAGTCTTAAGAAACTTATTCATATAAGTTTTATTTAAATTGGTCCTGTATAATATTTTCGATGATAGCCATTAGAAACAGAACTCGATTTCACATGTATATATAATATGTATAAATATATGCATTATATTTGTTTAACAATAAGAAATATGCAGTAAAAATTAAAATTATACAATTAATCAACTAATATATCTGAAATCACTAATTAAATAGTACTCATTTTTTATGAAACTTATTGATTATACAGGTTTTTCTGATTCTGAACTTGGAGGAAACGATTACAAAACTCCAATAACAGGACAACTTAAACAGGAGACATATGCAGGTTACAAGAGGCTTTTGAATGCAGAAGGTAGAGTGCTACATTTAAATTTTTTTTGTTACATCAAATGAGCTATACATTTCAATACACTTAGGAAATCAGGACTGTTTTGAGTATCTATATTATAAATAATAACCAACTACATTTTCTTCAATTATTATTATTATTATTGTTATTAAGTGCCATATGTCGGTAACTCACACACTATCGTACAATATTTTGAATCTTATATTTTGAATAAATAAAAAAAACGACTATTTATTATTTTGAAGAAGTCTTTTCTACTTGTTGAAGAAATTGATAAAGATAACGCAGTTTTGAGGTGGCCAGAGATAAGGGTTCTGACTTCTTTTTCACCCCTTTCCTATTTTAAAGCATCTATATTATGAATACTGTGATTTAAAATTTAGAAATTTTGACAAATCGATACATTTTCTGTTTTGTAGCAGTCGACAAATCGAATGTACAATGGAATATTATATGGCACACACCTACAATACGAATCAAACGCTATGATGTGTCTTACAATTTTATAAAAACGATAGATTTCTGATTTTTGGGAGTTCCGATTCCTAACTGTTGTTTTAATTTAAAATTTTTTTTTTCAACCAAGCTCGGGAATTTGAGATGTGGTCGGACTCAATGTCGCCACCGCCTCTGGAGACGCAGTCCACGGACGACGAACAAGAACCGTCCGATGGGGATGCGGACGATCAGGAGTCGATCGGCGAGCAGTACATGACCTACAGGAACAAGGTGAAGGCGTTCCTAGAGGAACCGATGACAGACTACCAATCGTCGACACGGGCTGCGGCCACCGATGATGACGACGACGGTGACCGTCCGACACATCTGCTGCACGTCGACCGCGTGGAAAAGTCGATCACGGCTGACCAACTGTTCGCGGCTTTCAGTCGTTACGGCAAAGTGCTGTGGGTCCGAGTGTTTCCTGGCGGATACAGCTGGCCTTCCGGTTCCGTCTACCCGTACCATTCAGCACGCGTCTACTTCGAGCGGACCGAGTCCGTCGACAGTGTATTGGCCGACCACCAGGACCCCGGCTGCACGATCAACGGCGTCCTGGTGTCCTTCAGCAAGTCCAAACCAGGCCAATGATTTACGACGGCGATGATGATGTAGTATGTTACAATATTTTTATGCATATTATGAAGTCTATAACCGCGGTATGATATTGTGTGATAGTGGTTGTGGTTATAAACGCCCATATAAACGTATGACTATTATAATTGAATAGGGCTTACACTATACTAGACAAGTAATGAGTGTATGAAAAGCCAAAAAAATATAGAGGGAGTTTTTCGGTTACTGAGTTACTCATGTGTAATATAATGTAAAATGGTAGTGTTGTGTTGTACGTAAGATATATAGATACATAGATTTTTGTTATGTAGGTCGTCAACACACATCACTGAGAAATGTTTTACAGCCACCTGTTGTTATATACACTTTACTTGTCTAGTAGTATAGGTCTATGGTTAAGGGCGACTTCACACTATACCGTGATAACGTTAACTATGATTTTTGTTAAAATAATCATTTTTTGATTTGCGGTAATTATTAATGAGATGGAGTGATTTAAGCGTGTTTATATTGATATAAATATATGGTTAGTAGTGACTGGTATAAAATATACCATGCATATGATTTGATTCTACTCTCTGGTATTTATGAAGTACACTACGTGGTAGCAATCTAACACGATATTGTAGTGTACCGCTTAGTAACCGCTAGATTCAGCCAATCACAGCACTGATTTTTTTTCAGGAAATCGTGGTTCACGGAGCAGTGTGAAGTCTTCTAAACTATTACATTGATCTACCTGTGTATCGATAGGTGACAATAAAGTGTAGATATAGGTTAGGTATTCATGATTTAATGTTATGACCACCTCGAATTCTTGAGGTGTCAGGAGTTCAGGACATTGTAGGGAAGGTGCCTTTGTTAAAGACTGCACAATTTTTTGACATTATAACAATACTGGGTTAATATATTATGACATGTATTATACGGCTATAAACAACAATACATAATAATATATGAGAATTCACCATTTTTCATCATTTCGTTATCGGAATCTTGTAAAAATGTCAAAAATACCGTAGTTTTAATATGTTTTCTATCCGGGGCGTGATTTTCCACAACTAATCGCTACAAGTAGTTTTCCGATCGCCGCGACCGAGCAAACAGTGACAAAAACTAAGATTTATTTTTATTGGCGAGTGTGCAGGATTTTTAATTTCCGTGACAACTAAAACTTTTTCTCCGCAACCACTGTTATACTTTATACAGTTTTCAGTTGATGTAGACTTATTATTATTGTGCTACGTTGATTTAGGCAAATTTATGTGAAACTGTTCTATTTTCGAGTTCGAAGTTGACCTGCTATTTCTTCTAAGCGCTATTGGGTTATACATATATGGACGACCTTATACCTCACGGTATTTTATTTTGGGTTTGATAAAATTTGCATATGCGTAATTTAGTAGCAGATTTCATTGAGAGGACTTTTCGTGTCATTAGTAATTCAGAAGTAGAATGATTTTAGGGAAGTTTACCACCTAACCTACCTACTAACCTAACCTAACCTAAAGAAAAAAAAATACCTTTTCATCATATTGGAGAATGGAGTATTAGAGTTTACACATTTGTCAATTCGGACTTGTGAATGTATAATATTTACTTCCTCGTGTCTATATGTCATATATTTATATCCGTATAGTTTGGAATTCATAATTTATTCAATTTTCGGGCAGTACATCCCAAATTCCACAGAACGGTCGTCATTATTTCGCAGATGGTACTCTGTATATTAAACCCAATACGTGCAAAATGTATTCAGTTATAATAATGAAGCTCTGATTATGATATTAATCTTAAATATTCTACAGTCATGCACATATTGCAGGTATAATAGTAAAATATATTAATAAACTATTTTTCATAATATCTGATAATTTTAACTGCATGCATTTTTAGTTAAGTATTCCGAATCTTAAATCATTATTATTATTTGTTACCATTTTCAAAAAATAATAGATTTGAAAAATCCCTATGATAAAAATGATAAAATGTTAGATGTTTTGTAAAAATGGTAGTGTTTTAAAATTCTTGAGCCTTATAAAAATTTTGAAATCATAAATATTTACTAAAACTGTATACCTATAATAATATATGCAATGTTACACGTCTACAGTCCACACAACAAAAGTCGTTGTCATGATTCTATAGATAATAGAATAATCATCATCTATGCTCCTAAAAATACTACGTAACATTGTAATGTTTGGAAATAAAATATTATAATATCTATGTATTGTCCCTCGTAATAGGTAGGATCATCAGTGTTTATTGTTTACAAAAATAGTATTTTTTTTTATTAGTTATATAAATGATAATGAGATTTGACGTATGTCGTACACCGCATACGTTATATTGACTAAATATTTTTTATTTTTTTTTCATAAAAAGCTTCCTGTTTTGGTTCAGATGCTGTGAAATCTCAAAAATAGTACATTCAATTGCAACTTATACAAGGGAATGGAAAATCAATACACAGCTGTCTTGACGTAAAATAACATTTAATTTTAAATACCAATTTCGATATGACATTTATACTTTTATCAAAATATTGAAATTTTAATCGCATTATATTTATGTATTTTTCAATAACATTTATCAATATTTTTTTTTTCACTTGTATTTGAATTTGTTTATTAAGTTCTAATAAATATTTCTTTCTCTATAATTCAGACGTAAATTTCTGCAAATAAATATTGTTTAATATGCATCAAATGGTTGTCACATAAGAATTAGTTATCTGCATGAAACGTTATACAAAAATTATATACATAAAGATATGACAATCTGTGTGCGGTGATGAGGCGTTCCTATATAGCTCATCGGTGGTGTCATTTATCAATGACCGAAACTGTATAATTAAATTTTATACTATAATTACATAATTCATGATTTTCGATTTTCTGTGAAAGAATAAAACATATATTTAATTGAAAGTGGACTAACAGTGAAAAGAAAACTCGTGAAAATGGAATCATTTTATACCAACGAAATCGATATCATGGAAATACTTAAAAAAATACAAATTATTAGTGAGGAAGTGGAACCTATTATAGAAGTGACATAGAGTATCGAAATTTGACAATACCAATGTTTAGGTCTTAAGTTCTTGTTTCGTGTCACAAAAAAAAATTGATCTGACATTTTGACATGATTTTTGACAGTCACATTCTTTCAAACCGAATAGCACTCTATATAAGAAATAGCTATTATAGGTCACACGCGTTGTAAGGTTTTATTACAAGTGATTTTATAATAATATTTTTCTTTGAAAATAAAGTGAATGTGATTGATTTAAAAAGATACGGCGTACCATGAAGTTGACATCGACGGTACAGATATAGATAAAACAAAAAAATACTTCGAATATAAAATGCAATATGTCTATCTCTATACCATTCGTCAGTTTTTTAAGATACTTACATGACATTTTTCGATTCGTAATTTTCAACTATTTGCACTGCTGTTCTCATATACCATAAAACCATATTACCACTTATTTTTAAATAACCACCTTGAATCGAATCTGTGCATACATAGAACAAGACTTTTCAAATTCCAAATATCAGTTTAGATGAACGATTCCAAAAATTATGTAAACATTAGCTCAATTCTGATTTTACTTTTATTGTTGTTTCACTAATGTCAAAACATAACATGTTAGTATGTGTTATGAAATGGAAACTTAACAATTTTATTTTATAGAAAAACCTTTAAAATATCTGAATATGGAAATAACGAAATAAAACTACACTATACTAATGCGTAAACCAAAATTATATTTAAGGTATTATAAACTCTTCTGAGCGGTGATTGAAGATTTCAATGGATTTTTAGATGTGAACATTTATTTTCAAATTTTTTGAGAATAGGCTCTCAATGTTTTAAAAAAACACGTAGGTCGTAGGTACATCGTATACATTCTTTTCACCACAACTCCATACATGTTCGATGTTTACACCGCAGATTTTCTTTTCTGCATGTTTTTAAGCCACAACTTAAATGCGAGTTTAGTCAGGTATTACCTTCCAATTCAGCTTTATTTTATAAAACCCTATCTCGTAATTCCAATACACACCACAAACAAATGCAAGTATAATATTATATGTCTATATCTCAGGGTATATTCACAGAATTTGAGCATTTGCGTCGATCTGTCCATGTCTGATTACTAGATCACCATATTGTGTTTAAAATGCATCCGTGGTCATATAGAATTGAAAATTCAAAGAGTTGACAAACTCACCTAACTTCACTATAAACTATAAAATAATCTATGCTCGTTAACTAATAATTGAAATTCACTAATTTTGTCCACTAAAACCTTTCAGGATGGCCCGTAACCCAAACAGGAAACTCAAAAGAAACTTGTCTATAGATGATCAAGTTAGAACCAAAACTATAACCAGCAGTACACAATTTGAGGTGCCTGCATTTATATAAAATAAATGTACTAAGTTCTTTTTATTAATTATAATTTTAACTTCAGTTAATAATTATTGTATACAGACTGTTAAATTATATAATCATAATAATAATAAAACATATTACCTACTCGAATAAAAAATATTTATACCATAAAATTTTTGTCATCTATTGAAAAACTTTTTTATTTCACAATCTTTTTTATTTTTGACCGAATGGTTTATTTTAAACTATACTATTTTATGCATATTTCTATTATTTCTCTATTTACCTATATTATACATTCATATTTTTTATATTTGTTTAATGTCGCTAAAATTGTTTTTATTTGATATCACATATATTTCTATGAATTAACAATTATTAGTCGACGATTTGTTTCCTATACACTCATATTAATACTGACTTTTTGACATTTCAGCTCAGCAACAAATAGAAGTACAATAAAATTCAAATCTCAAACATTTTTGAAAACTATTTCTTAGGTGGCTCTAGGCTTTATAGGTATTTTTTTTTTTTAACTCCTTTTACTTTTCTTTTTATAGATATTTTTAAACATTTTTCCATGTATGGAATTATAAATAAAATTACCCATATCCATTATATGTATCCATCTAATGATTCCACAATGGCTCAATGTTTATGAATATATTCTCGTGTGTACAGAACAAATAAAAAAAACCCTGTACACGGGAATATTTTTTCAAATAATTGTTATTTATACAGCGCATATTACCTGTGCACTGTTGTTACAAAACGCGTGTTTCAAAATCTATCCACAATGCATTACACTAATAATTGTCAAAGACACGTATCTTGTTGCAGTTGTTTAAACAGTAATGCGTACTCCCCGGACGCAGATGAGGTCCAATTTCGACTACTACGAACATTAACGAATTTATCAAAACTTGCCGGCGATTTCCCATGTTTGCAATGCATTACTCGTACGCTTGAGAAAATATAATTCATTGGTGGATCGTATTGTTGAAACCATTAACACGGAAACGAGTAGAGTTTAAGTTAGTTTCGGTTAATTCGGATGAAAACTAATATAATATGCATGATTCATCAAGATGATATGACAATTTTACCTTGAATTATTGCACAACAATATCTATGCGACATACTCCGCAGGTATAATTGTGTTGAATATTCTATAATATCCAACTACCCGTAACATAGAATTGACATGAAATCGGAATTTTGGTGTGGTGTATTGTGACAAATACAAATTAATACATGCATGGCAAAATAGAAGCATGATACGTTTATAACATTAAGCTTCTATAGTCGTGAGAAGTTTTTTTTAAATGTCTAGTTATTGGTTGTCACCTACATCGCTTTTCACGTCATATGAGCACGTGTTGTGGTGAAACTTACAATTTTTTTTGTTTTTAACTTCCGTAGAGACTTGAAATTATCACAAAATATTTATATTATTAGCATTTACTAAAAATTACAACATTTTCAAACTAGTTCGACACTTATTGTCTATTTATAAATATTTAAAATTTTTTATTTTTTTAACTTTTAACTTTTAACTTTTTTAAACATTTTTATCTATTTAAGTATGATGCATTTTTGTTATAAGTAAAACAAACTTAAAATGTAATACTTGGTTTTTCATACATTTATTTACTAGAAATAAAAAAAAAATAGTCTTAAAGCCACAAAATTGAATGAGCGATTGCGAAGTTAAAATGTTGATGACATTGAATATTCAAACACATAATAATAATTTATCCTCAATCGATATTTTTTTATTTAGCTGTTATAAAAAACTATTTTTATAGAAATTTGAAACATTATTATTTAAATTATCATTTTCTGTACTTGATGAAATATTTTAACCTATTTATAGTGATTTGCATTTTTTTAAGTTAGACCTTTGAAAGACCTGACAGCTAAAAAAATATCCTACATAAGTTTTTCTTAAAGCAATTAAAAAATATTAAGAACACATAGCCGAGATTTTTTGAAGACGTCTGGACTTAGGAGTTCAACTTTTGACAAAATTATGAAGATTTGCACATTATTTTGTAGTATATAAATTTATAAAAGCATTTATAATATTGTATAAAGATAATAATGTACATGATATGTTTATATACATTAAATAGCTATATGCCTATATAATTATGGCTATTTTTGTTGGAATATTATATCTTTGTTGTAGTTATTATTATTATTACTGTTTGCGCCGACGCCGCTCCTGCGAGTATGGCGGTTGGCGGCGACGACTTGTGAGGTGTTGGGAGATGAGGTGACCAATATATAGTAATAAAAAGGCGCGACTTTCGGTTTACTGACGGGCCAAGTATAGCACCGCCCTACTATTGTAACAACCCAATCAAATAATATAAAAATACATATAACTAAGTAATAAGGGGTACGGGCGCCCAAAGGGGTGACGATTATAATAATAATAAATAATATAAGGATATATGACTA